AACACTGGCTGTCAATCGTTTTGGGCTATGCTTTGCTCCGTCGAAATGCAAAGTACATCTCCAAGATTGGCAGGGACCCAACCCTGCGCTAACGTTTGGTGATGATCTGCTAGAAGTCGTTCAGGAATTCAAGTACCTGGGTAGCTATATTAGCACCCGTGGGATTGAAGATGAGGTTACGAACCGTATAGCAAAAGCTCGAGGTGCTTTTGCCAATCTCCGCCACCTGTGGCGCAGACGCGACATTACTCTCGCCCTCAAGGGCAGAGTTTACAACGCAGCCGTCCGTTCAACTCTCCTATATGGCTGTGAAACCTGGCCCATCAGGTCGACAGACATGAAGAGGCTCGTCACATTCGATCATCGCTGCCTTCGCAGCTTAGCTCATGTCTGGTGGGAGCACCGCGTGAGCAATGAGCGTGTTCGGCGTCGCGTATTTGGTGCAGGAAGAGCGAGTAAACCGCTCAGCACGATTATATCACGCACCAGGCTCCGATGGCTGGGCCACGTGTTGCGCATGCCAGCACACCGACTCCCACGACGTGCATTGTTTGCGCGTTGTGGGTGCGGTTGGAAGAGGAGGGGAGGCCAAGTGATGACTTGGTGGAGAGAAATGAAAACCCTCACTTCGAAGTTGGCGTCGGTTGGTGCATCCCGATTGCCTGGCTGGGGTCCTAAGGACGGTGAACACGTTTGGTTGGACACACTTGCTGATATGGCTTGGAGCCGGCCCCAATGGCGTTTGTGTTGTGAGTTCCTTTGTCCATTCCCATCCAGCTTAGCATCCCCCTCCAATCACGACCTCACTAGTTAGGCAATAATATGACTCTCACTTACGGCAGCCAGCTGTTAGCTCTCCGGAACGATGTCCATCCGTTACTGTGGGCTCAGCGGGCGTGCCACTGTTTTCCTTTTCTTGTCTTCTGTATTGCGGCACAATAGCTGAGGGTTTTTCCACCACCAACTAATGTGTAATGATGATGATGATGAGTTCGTTACCTGCCAAAAAGTAAGACTGCAAACGACGTATTGGAGAGAACAACGAAATTTTTCTATTGTAATGAATGTTTCATAGGCACAAAGGCTGAATGTTACATGATCGCGGAGATTGGCCGGAAACAGGAATGTTTCTTACGTATAAAGGTTGCTCGGAAAATGAATGTCTGACAAGTGGAAAAGCTGAGGGAACATGTTCACTGGTCTACTGAGAGTCTCAGCGACTTACATAGTTTCAGCTCGCGAGCTTATGGGGACGTTTGGTCCCCATAACTGATACCTTGGGAGGACAGCATCAACGGATCCACAGATAACGAGGGATCTGAGCATCTACGTATCAAAGGCGGCTGGCGCTTTTGCAAAACTGGAGATTCAGGTGCGGAAAAACCATTTACTTATCGTTTAGGATGAAGCTGATGGTATGTAAGTCGATGGTTGTCTGTTCTTTAAGACGGCAGAGAAATCTGAACAGTGTACCGAAGGGGCGTCCGATATTTGAGCGCATTCATCAACAGCCCCTGCGTGCGTGGGATTCTGCGCATTGGCTGGGGTGACCGAATGGCTGACACGGGTGCTCCACCGAAAAGACGTGTATGCAATGAACTGCATACTTCTGTTGCGATCCCTCAGTTGGCTTGGACATTACCAGCGCATGAGTTCGACGTGGGTACCAAAACGACTGTTGAATGGTCAACTTAGTGAGATAAGCGGAATGTGGGCAAATCGAAGCAATATTACCAGGACAGGATCAAGGTGAGTCTATCACGAACCAAAGTGGAATTTAGTTTTAACAAGCAATGGCGTGGGCACATCAAGGATGCGGTTGCCCAGGTTCATCAGTAAGCACTGTTGCATAAGGAAGAGAGACGCCGGCTACGGAAGCAACAAGCGCCGATAGTCTTTCCAACAGACATCAAACACATGCAGTCTTGTGTGCCTCAAGCAGTCCGGTCTGGTACGCTCTCAGCGTGACAAGAGGCTAATACTGAAGAGGCGATGAGCCAGCTGAATAGGTAGGAATCAGCGAAGCGCTTGGCAAGTACGCTGCTTCTGATTCCATTTACTAACCCAGGCTAATAATGTGGTCTATGTGGCACGTGCGCTGCATTATCGCTGCAGTTGGTCTATACAGGTGTCTTTGCGTCGATTTTCTTGCATTTCAGTTATTTGTTGCTGATTGACCTTCCAGGTGTGGCTGCGTTTGATGTGAATGTTTGCAAGGTGCCTATCTGTCAAAATCGGCCATCTTGATTACACTGGCTCCAGAAAAGTTGGTCGTTGTTGGGAGAGACGGGATGCACGGTACTAGTGACGGTGCTAGGATCAAAGGGTGTTTCCACTCAACCATCTCTTTGCATACGTCTAATTCGCGTGATTCCGTGCACGCCGGTGTGATTGTGTTTGATGTGCATATTGACAAGGTGTCTACCTGTCTATCACCCACTACCTCGTCCATACTGGCTGCAGGAGACATTTAGTCGTTGCTGGAGAGGACGGGGTGCACGGTCCTTGTGGCCGTGCTAGGCTCGAAGCGTGATTCCATGCAGTCAGTGTGGAGCAGACTACGGTCCAGCCACCGCCTTGTGTGCGCTTGATTTCCCAAATACAGTGTGCTTGTGTTTGCCTGTGAAGGAGTGTGGGCCGGCGCCGTTGATGAAACGTGGTTCCCATCCACATACCTCCCGGTCTTATTCCTTTGGGTTTACACTAGATACGGGGTGTGTGGTTGGAGCCGTGGGTGGTGCAACGCAAGGCACCCATGGTCCGTCTGTAGGTGCAGGCGTCCTGTGGCCGGCCACAGTGACAGGCAAATCGGAAACCGGATGCCTCTAAGCATATATATACTTCTCCGCCGTTAAGGAATAGGTTGAGAAGCATCAAAAGCCATTGCAAACAAAGGAAGGTGCAGCTGGACTGCACCTCGCACTGTCCACGATTGTACCCTAGTTATATGATAGTTAAAACTGAACACAATACAGAAGGCGCGACACAACTCGTTTGGCCAAGTTGAAGTAGGGAGGTGGAGTTGTGGGCTTTACCACCGAACCTTTTGTTGATTAGCCTACTTCAGAAGAACAGGGGGTAGTCTTGGAATCAGGGTCATGGACAGCTGATGACCGATCAATCAGTTCATACGCCTTTCGTCTGGTAAGTTATCAAGCGAAGTGCAGTACGCCTCGCGTTTATCCGATTTTCCTTGTTACTGCGTTCATTGTCTGTACTACAATGATCTACCGAGATAAAGTAAGAGAAAACGACTCTATCTGGTAATGATTCACACCCGCCACGTTAAGCATCGATATAACAGCAATGGAAGCTTTTATAAGGAGAACGCTCGCCACCATGTCTTGAAACACTATCATCATCATCAACAGCAGTACATCAGACATTTGAACTTGATGCTTCGCTGCCATACAACCATGACGACCTATGAAAAAAGAATAAGGAGAGAGAAGGGGCACTTACCTGAAAACCTTAATGCCCTAAGCAAACATTCTAGGTCAAGGCGCCTACACCTTGTATAGACAACATACCACCACAAACAGCTGGCTATCGTGCAAAGATAAGGCGGCATCGGCGATACAGCTTCCTTGCGGCTTTCACTTCCACGCGTCATAACCAGACAGTATCCCGCACATAACTCAGCACCAAACACACCTTAAACAGGCAATCCGATTAGGAGACGGCAGCAGACGCGCCACTAGTGTCGGTTGCGAGCCATGTCCTGTAAAGTCTCGAGCCAAGCACAAGGCGCGTCACATGGAGGCCAGCCCAGAAAACGAGACGGACCAACAGCACTCAGTTTGGTCGTCAGTGACTTCCTTTCCCACTGCCTAGTCAACTTCTGTCGATCTCGAGCTATGCGCCACTCTACACCTGGCAGACTAAACAAGGCCCTCCTAGGTAAGCGGTGACCAGTCATACGTAGCACGTGCCCCAGCCAACGCAACCTATTCAGTGCTATTTGTTGTTCTAGGGACCTAGCATGATTATCACCAGCTAGTACTCGCCTACGAACATCATCGTTGCGGACACGCTGATGCCATCCGACTCCAGCAATGCTTCGCAGACAACGATTATCAGACTTGAAGGCGCCTCAGATCTTCAGACCGAAGGGGCCAAGTCTCACTACCATAAAGCACAACGGCCCTCACTATGGCCTTGTACACCCGCCCTTTCAGACGTGGGGAAATTCCCTTCTGTCACCAAAGACCCCGCAGGTTCAAGAAGGTAGCTCTGGCTTTTGCAATGCGTGAGCTGACGTCAGTTTTTATGCGCCCATCACTGTTGATGCAGCTGCCAAGATAAGTGAAATATCAACCACCTCGAGATCCTCGTTAGCAAGCGTCAAGGGGCCATCAAGTGGCTGGTGGTCCTGCAGCAACACTTTGCACTTTGAAGGTGCGAAGTGCATACTGTGTGGTGATTGTAAGCAACTTGCTTATTCCCATGTTTACGCTTTCAGAATTCGCTGCAGTCCATGTACTAATTGATTTAATTAACTACTGAGATACAAAATCAACAAAGCTCGACTCTGCATGGTTCTACCTTGCCTACAACCAATGTCGTTGTGATTTGTGCGCCCACTACTTTCCTGAGCCGCTGATGGAAACATACGTGTGTACTTCTTGGAGGCATACTTCATGCTCTGCTATCGGCCGACGCCAAATCAAATTAAGGGTTTTTTATAAGATGAACTTATTCCTTAAGCGATTTGATATCCTTATTTAGCGAATCACTACAACTGCCATCGACCTTTTGCTTGAATGGTATTAAACCAATCTGCCGAGCTAGCATCATGAGGAGGCAGTTAGGCATTTCAGTAAAGCACCTGGCTGATAGGAAATATACCAATTATTTATAGCTGTTTAGTTTTTAATTATTTTGCAAGTTTTTATAGCTATAAATGCAGAAGGACTGATAACTTGACGGGTGCACTTAAAAATGCAGGTAGCAGTGGACAATGCACAATCCGCACGAGATAAAACGTCACACAATCCAAATGCCTAAAATCGTATCGTATTCACCCAATACGAAAGTACACACTCTGTGACATTTACCGTAACATACTTTAATGAACCACAAATGCGAAGGTGAGAACGTTTTGGAAGACAATAGACTTTAAGTGAACGCTGTGGCAACAATAGAAAGATCGAAGGATTCACTGAGGAAAGCGAACTCAGTGAGAACAGCCGGATGGGAATTTTGTGTGGGTTTTGAAAAGCAAATGGACGTAGGTAGGGGGAACAAATTAGTACAAGTTAGTTTTCTTCATAATGCGCAGGAATTCTTGCTCATCTACCTCCCCGTCACCGTCACGGTCGGCCTCGTCGATCATTTCCTTAAATAATAAAACAATAATTAGAAATAAGCATACCTGTAGCTCTTCATCGGTAAGATTTTCTCCCAATTCTTTAGCAACACGTTTTAAGTTTTTAAAGGATATCTTTCCCGTCTCATCGTCGTCAAATAAACGGAACGCCTTTAGAATTTCTTCCTTAGCATCCTTATCCTGCATTTTTACGGTCATCATCTGCAAAAAATCAGAATATTCGATCGTCTCTAAAATATCATGAGCGTGAAAAATAATTATTCTACCCTTGGAATCACAATCAAACTCCACGAGAAGCTTTTTAATCTCCTCCCGTTTAGGCTCAAAGCCTAGAGCCCGCATAGCAACTTTCAGCTCATGCACATCGATGGAACCTGTTTTGTCGGTATCGAACAGATCAAAAGCTTCCTTTATTTCCAGTTTTTGATCCTCCGTGAGTTCCTGCTTGGCAGGGCGTCCGGCAGGTTGTACTTTCGATTTGCCGGATTGAGAAACGAGAGTAGGCTTTTTTACCGAAGCTGACTGCGGAAAGGTAGAAGGAGCTCGGGAACTCACCATCCGGGTGTCTGTATTGTGTACAGCCGCCAAAGATGATGGGCGTCAATGTGGTATCCGCTGGATTTGGCGGAAGGCGTGTAAACTATAGATGCCTAATAAGCAATCCAGGAAAACGTCTAAAAAGGGAATGAAAGAGACGGTTTAAAAATATTTACCGCTTGGTTTCAAGTGTAAGAGTGCGAAAGATATCAAAAACAAAAAAATATAACGAGCAGCGGGAATGATTCCCCTACAAACGTTACTTACAATTGCAAAAAAGGCTTTACAATCCTCAGAATAAACGCGACCAGGAAACACACTCAGCACAACAAGTTAGCCAATTACCAAGATACCATCTTCTTCGAATTCGGTCCGGCGTTGTCGCTCCGGTCTGCTGCGTGCGTCCATCGTGTTATTTTCTCGGCGTTTTGATCTTCGCTCAAACGCCCAGGAATCTCCGCCTTAATCGGGCTACGCTATCCGCCGTATCGTACCGTTTGTTTGGGAGTCATTCGAAGTCGGAAGCCCATCGATGGTCAGTATTTTTGCCTTAACAAGCTGAGTTCGGGCTATAATTAATTTTGTAGTGTTGGCTCGTTTGCTACAATCTAGTACGATGACTACTTTATCCCCGGAGCAAAGTCCTAGCACTCAGGTAAGCTCGACTTTGCCTCCTGCGTCTTCTACGAGTGACGTTAAAGCTCCGGTGCGCCATAAGCTAGGTGGTAAAGATCAATTGAAAACGCAAAGAGCAGAGAAACCGGCGATCTGATGTGCCGCAGCTTCCTGGTCTTTTATGCAACTGAACCCTGTGATTCCAGTCCTCGGTGCTCTACGAAGACGATGTCAAGTTTCCGCAGTGCCAAATTGATAGACTCTTCGACGTAGGGGAGTGCGGGCTGAAAGTAAAACAAATCGTCCGTCTCGCGACGTCAAATGACGATCTACGAGAATGTTTGTCGAAAAAGCCAGTGCTAATTTGATATTATCCCGCCTAGGTAGACTGAAAGGTTTAAAGATCCACGTGCGTGCTGACTTGGATCCAGCAGTTAGAGAGAAACTTAATGCCGCGACGACTGAATCAAAGCGGCGCACAGACGAGCGAGAAACAAACCTCCGCGTCGTAAATTTTCGGGTAGTTACCCGGATTTCCCCATCAATTCGGAGCAACAGATTTCTGGTGCCTCCAGTGCACCCAGCAGTTTCTGACGCAGCCTATGTGCAGCGTGTACTGATGTCTGCAGTCTGCTGAACAGATGTAAAGAGCTGCGCTACTTTGGAACCTCTCAGCGGTCAAACGTATTAGACCTCGCTGAGATATGGTTTAACTCCGATGTAACCCCCTCAAGAAGCAGAAATCAGCGGCTACCCATGCTTCCGTTGCTATAGTTAAGGTACTTCTTGTGTTGGTGATTCGGGAGCACCTACCAAGACGCTGATGGTCTTCCTGAACAGTCATGGTGTTCGATTCACTTCAGACGCTGCGAACTACTAGCGGACGTGATCTATCGCAGTCCACTGACGCACTGCTTGGACTGGGCGCGCATGTCCGCAACAACATGAGTCGCCGCTGTTCCTACTCATGGGCGATTTCAACTTAATTAGACTACAGAGGCCTGAGGATGAACTCCTCCCCGGCCACTGTGAAGTCGAGGGAAGTTCGAGGAGATAATATCTGAAACTGGGACTACATAACATATCAACCAACCAACGTGAATAATCCCGCACTCGACGCCATCGTGGTTAGACCTGCTATTGACCATTTGTGAGCAACGTGCGCATAACATACAGGCATTAGAGCCCTTGGGAGCGAGTGACTACTTGATGATCATAGTCAGCTTGAAACCGCCGCTGTCGTATTCTCCTCCACTGGAGCCGCACTTCAGTTCGTGGAAGGTGGACTTAAATGGCCTCGCTCAAGCAGCGAGTCAGATGGACTGATCACTACTCGAGGATTCATAGTTGAAACCCTTTGGACTATCATTAGAGTGGGAGTAAAACTGTTGTGCACACTATTTGTGCCCCGCAATTAGAGGAATGTTGGACCGATAAGACATATTGGTTCGGCAAGGAATGGAGCAACCTGGCTCGACGGCGACGAAAACTATGGAAAACAATCGTGTCGTCTGGCTCTGACGAAGATTAGGTGTACAAGAGACAGCGAAATCTCTGCAACAGCGTGAAGACATAAAAACGTGCAAGAGCAGCTTGCGACCGCAGCAAAATGGCGTTAAGAAGAGCTTCGTCTACGTGAAGCGGCACCTTAGGTTTACAGATAATGTACCAGTGTTGAAGGGCTCAGATAGACAGCCCATAATCTCTAGCACTGCCGTGCGTCCGCATTGGCGAAGCCATTCGCTTCCGTATTTGCAAGTGACCAGATGGCTGTACCGAGTCCGACGAGTACCGCCCCGCTGAACTAGACAGCCTAGATTGCAGCATTGAAGATGTATGCAATCTGCTGGCCAATCTTGACAGGACCAAGCCTGCCGGGTCAGATGGAATCCACCCATTGACCTTCAAATCATTATCGGTGATTATCTCGCCTTTCGTGACTGAGCTGTTCAACAAGTCGCTATCCACTGGTTTATTACCGACCGATTAGAAATGTTCAGTCGTAAAGCCAATACCAAAATATGATGACCCAAGCAGTGTACAACTATCGGTTAATTTGCCTGACCGTTATTTTGATTAGGACACTTGGAAAGTGCGTGAAAAGGGAGCTGATGCATCTCCGCGGGTCGAAAAGCCTCTTGACGCCAGCACAGCATGGTTTCGTGAAGGATCGCTCATGCTTCATCAACGAGCTTTTGACAAACCATGAATTGTTGCAGGCGTCGAACCAAGGGAAGGCGGTAGACGTCATTTACATTGACTTCAGCAAGGCGGATCACGAGTTGACATTAAATGGGTGCTGTTCTTCCTAACACTGTCACACCACAACCGCGGTTTCGTCCTGGTTTGGACTCGTCAGGTGGAGATAGCCTGAGCTAGGGTGGAACTCAGAGCCTAGTACTTCATGGCTGATGCCATGAACACTATGCTACTGAGATCCGCGAGCAACGCTTGGCACAGCGAAACGAAATTCAAAGTAGAATTTAGGGAACACGCTGTGTGGTTGGGTTGGGACTCGCAACCTCTATAGCGTTGCGCGCGGATCTCAGTAGCATGGTGTTCAGGGCGTCAGCCATGAAGTACTAAGCTCTGAGTTCCACCCTAGCTCAGGCTATCTCCAGCTGACGAGTCTAAACCAAGACGAAACCGCGGTTGCGGTGTGCCGGCGTTGGGAAAAGCAACACCCATCTATATCCACTACAGGTACGGTCCTCGAGATCGGAATGATCGAGGTCTCCATAGAGGTTGCGTGTCGCAACCTAACCACACAGCGTGTTCCCTAAATTCTGCTTTGGATCACGAGTTCCTCCTCCACAGCCTGAGAGTGTGCGGTGTTGGCGGCTCGTTGCACCTGGTTGATCGAAAGTGGAGGGCCTAAGTCGACAACCATCTGGCCGACTGGTATCCATCGACCAGTGACGTGCTCCAAAAAAATGCACTGGGACCCATGTTCGTCCTGATGCATATAAAGGAAGTGCCCCAGCTTCTCCGTTCGTTCTGTGCGCTGCTTGTAGATGGCTTGAAATTTTAGAAAGTAATCAACGCACCCCATGACTGTGACCTGTTTCAGGGAGACCTTGACCGCCTCTCCATGTGGTGTGCAGAGGTCAACCTTCCGATAAAACCAGCCAAGCCGTTATGCGATACACCGTAAGGGTTAACACGGTCGAAGCTACACTAGGGCCAGACAACCGTTGAATCCCGCGGCTTTCGTGAGGGACCTCAGTGTACTATCATGCTGCAACCTAAAACCAGTGGGCAAGACGAATAGGCTTTACCACAACGGACCTCATATGCATTGGGTGTTCAAGTGTAGCTTCTGTACTTGGTCAGAAGAGAGTGGCACTAGCCTCCTCAGCACAATCCTGCCACCGGTGCTAGAGCACGGCTCACTCGCGTACTGTCCTAGCACCCGGGACGAGGACTGAGCGAGTACAGCATGTGGCTACCAGGGTCACCTTAACTTTACGAAAACCAGCGGAAGAATCTAGGACTTCCCAGACTGTCTTGCTGTCGATTGCAAGTTTACTTCATTATGGCGCAGTGGATACTACATCATGGTGATTACTTCATGCTGAGACCGCTGCTCCATATGTGCACACCAAGCAGCACACGAGGATACCGGTACAAGCTTGAAGCAGGTCGCCCACCGCCTGTCTCGAACAAAAATAGGGATTCTATGGAAGAACCTGTTGCCGCATGTAGTCGAGGCAAGTGTCGGAATTCAAAACAGTTCTGGACAAACATTTTGGGGACACAAAATATTGCGAATGCTCTCCAACCTAACAGGTCATTGTACTTGAGGAATTTTAGTTGCAGCTACACATAGACATCTCTTCTTGCCGCTTCCATCCACTATTCAGAAAGCGCTTTTCCAAATGTCTTGTGCGTTGGTATTGCAGCAAAATAGCTGAGTTGTTACTCACCTTTAGCTAACGTGCAATGATGATGGCGAACAGCAGCAGGAAATGTTCGACAGTCTACCATATGTTGAACGGGGTGTGCGGAAATTTACTGGTTTATGGGGTGCTTGGAAAGACCACAGACGGCCGTGGTGAACTTGTGCATGGCACTCCGAATGTGTGTCCAAGGTGCCTCGACGTTTGGCAGTGGAAAGTTTTTCAGAGGGAAAACCAAGCCAGCCGGAAAATCACCGAATGTTGGGATCGCCGTTTCGGGCAACCCTATTGGGTGCAACCAAAACGCAGAACAACTTTGGTACACATAAGCGCGTGAATTGAAGTGACATAGATAACCCAATGCGGGCTTGCCATCGGCGACTGATGGCAAGATAGTCGATCAGTGCCCAAGAATGACTAGGTCAACTAAGTCGTCAGGTGGCGCGCTGGAGATGGAAGCGCCGAAAATTAGTGTTCACAAAAAGGAAGGAAAAAATGGCATCAGCCGTACGGCGGTACGTAGTACCGGCGCTTTGTTGCCGCGCAACCACAACCGGTCACACGTGGGCTAAGGATACGGCGAGGGTCGCCCTGTCCCTACGCAGCAAGATTACCAGACAAACT